TTTTTGAGACGGAGTTTCACTCTTGTTACCCAGGCTAGAGTGCAATGGCGCGATCTCGGCTCACCGCAACCTCCGCCTCCTGGGTTCAAGCAATTCTCCTGCCTCAGCCTCCTGAGTAGCTGGGATTACAGGCACGCGCCACCATGCCCAGCTAATTTTTTGTATTTTTAGTAGAGACGGGGTTTCACCATGTTGACCAGGATGGTCTCGATCTCTTGACCTCGTGATCCACCCGCCTTGGCCTCCCAAAGTGCTGGGATTACAGGCGTGAGCCACCGCGCCCGGCCAGAGGATAGTGTTCTTAACAAATCCTGCTGAAACAACTGGTTCTTTACATAGAAAAAAAACAGAAATAAACATTGACTCCTTATATCACTCATGTCATAGACAAAAATTAATTTGAGAAGGATCATTTGACCTAAATGTAAAACCCAGAATCAGAAAGGAGAAACACAAAATAGCTTTATAATCTTAAAGTAAGCAAATACTTCTTGGGCAGGACACAAAAAACACTGACCACAAAGAAAAAAGGAAAAAAAAAAAACCCTCAATTTTAAAATCAGGATAAAATATGCATAACATAAAATTAATCACTTGAAAATGAACAATTCAGTATGTTTAGTGTATTTACCATGCCATGCAACTATAAGCTTTATCTAGTTATGAAGCATGTTTATCACCTCAGAAGAAAATCCCACAATTGTTAAGCAGTTGCCCGCCCTTCATTCTCCCCTCCTGGTAACCATCAGTCTGCTTTTTGTCTCTATAGATTTACCTATTCTGCATATTTCACATAAGTACTATCATATAATATATAAGTTTTTATGTCAGGCCGGGCGCGGTGGCTCAAGCCTGTAATCCCAGCACTGTGGGAGGCCGAGGTGGGTGGATCACGAGGTCAAGAGATCGAGACCATCCTGGTCAACATGGTGAAACCCCGTCTCTACTGAAAATACAAAAAATCAGCTGGGCATGGTGGCGTGTGCCTGTAATCCCAGCGACTCAGGAGGCTGGGGCAAGAGAATTGCCTGAACCCGGGAGGCGGAGGTTGCGGTGAGCCAAGACCGCACCATTGCACTCCAGCCTGGGTAACAAGAGCGAAACTCCATCTCAAAAAAAAAAAAAAAAAAAAAAGTTTTTATGTCTGGTTCTTTTACTTAGCATATTTTTGAAGTTTATCCATGTTGTAGCATGTATCAGTATTTCATTTCCTTTTATCGCTGAATAAAATTCCACTGTATGTATATAGCACTATTTGTTTATCCACTCATTCACCGATGGATATTTGTGTTGTTTCCGTCTTTTGGCTACTGTGAAAACTGCTGCTGTCAATGTGTGTGTACATGCCCTTGTCTGAGTACCTGTTTTCAATTCCTTTAAAAAATGTTATTAATATGTTTTGATTGACAGATAATTGTATACATTTATGGAGTACATGTGATATACATCAATCTAATTAAATATCCATCACTTTCCTTCTGCATCATTTTTTATGGTGAGACATCTGAGATTTACTTTTAGTTATTTCAAAATAGTCAATATATTTTTGTTGACTATAGTCACCTGGCTGTGCAAAAGATCTCAAAACCTATTCTTCCTATCTTTCTGAAACTTCGTACACTTTGATTAACAACTCCCCATTTCTCTCCCTGTGTAACCTCTGGTAACCATCATTCTACACTCTACCTCTGTTCTATGAGTTCAATTTTATTTTTAAAAATTCCACATAAAATCGAGATCATGTAGTCATCTGTCTTTCTGTGCTTGCTATATTTCACTTAGCATAATCCTCGAGATTCAACCATGTTCTTGCAAATGACAGGATTTTCCCCCTTTTAAGGGCTAAATGGTATTCCATTGTGTATATATGCTACATTTTCTTTATCCATTCTTCCACTGATAGGTTGATTCCATGACTTAGCTATTGAGAATAATGCTGCAATGAACATGGGAGTGCAGATGTCTCCTCAACATACGAATTTCAGTTACTTTGAATATATACCCAGAAATGGAATTACTGGATAATATGGTAGTTCTATTTTTAGTTATTTTTGTTTTGTTTTTTTGTTTTTTTTGAGACAGAGTTTCGCTCTTGTTACCCAGGCTGGAGTGCAATGGAGTGATCTCGGCTCACGGCAACCTCTGCCTCCTGAGTTCAAGCAATCCTCCTACCTCAGCCTCCTGAGTAGCTGGGACTACAGGCACGCACCACCATGCCCAGCTAATTTTTGCATTTCTAGTAGAGACGAGGTTTCACCTTGTTGACCAGGATGGTCTCGATCTCTTCACCTCGTGATCCACCCGCCTCGGCCTCTCAAAGTGCTAGGATTATAGGTGTGAGCCACCACGCCCGGCGCGATCCATTTTTAGTTTTTTGAGGAACCTCGATACCATTTTCCCAAATGGCTATACTAATTAAGTTTATCACCAACAATGTATAAGAGTTCCCCTTTTTGCCAACGCTTGCTATCTTTCATTTTGTTGATAGCATTTTCAATTCCTTTTCAAACACAGGGTTGCTCTGTTGCCCATGCTGCAGTGCAGTGGCATGATCTCAGCTTACTGCAGTCTCTGCCTCCCAGGTTCAAGTGATTCTCCCACTTCAGCCTCCTGAGTAGCAGGGACTACAGGCATGCAGCACCACATCCAGCTAATTTTTTGTATTTTTAGTAGAGACAAGGTTTCACCATGTTGGCCAGGCTGGTCTCAAACTCCTGATTTCAAGTGATCTGCCCACCTCGGCCTCCCAAAGTGCTGGGATTACAGGTGTGAGCTACTGTGCCTGGCCATATTTTCAATTCTTTTTTTTTTTTTTTTTGAGACAGAGTTTCACTTTTGTGGCCCATGCTGGAGGGCAGTGGTGCAATCTCAGCTCACTATAACCTCCGCCTCCCAGGTTTAAGCAATTCTCCTGCCTTAGCCTCCCGAGTAGCTGGGCTACCAACCTGGCTAATTTTTTGTATTTTTAGTAGAGTAGGGGTTTCACTGTTTTGGCCAGATGATCTTGATCTCCTGACCTCATGGTCTGCCCGCCTCGGCCTCCCAAAGTGCTGGAATTACAGGTGTGAGTCACCTCACCCAGCCTATTTTCAATACATTTGGGTATATATCTAGGAATAAAACTGCTGAGTCTTATGGTAATTCTATGTTTACTTTTTCAAGGAATCATTATTTTCTACAGTGGATTAACCATTTTACCTTCTTCTACCAGCCATGCACAAGAGTTACAATGTCTCCACATGCTAACACCTGTTATTTTCTGCTTCTTAACACCCATCCTAGTGTTAAGTGGTGCCTCATTGTGATTTTGTTTTGCATTTCCCTAATGGCTAAGGATGCTGAGCATCTTTTCATGTGCTTATTGTCCACTCATAAGACTTCTTGGGACACCAGGCGTGGTGGCTCATGCCTGTAATCCTAGCACTTTGGGAGGCCAAGGAGGGCGGATTGCCTGAGCTCAGGAGTTCCAGGCCAGCCTGACAACATGGTGAAACCCCGTATCTACTAAAAATACAAAAACTTAGCTGGGCATGGCAATGTGCACCTGTAGTCCCAACTACTCGGGAGGCCGAGGCAGGAGAATCACTTAAACCTGGGAGGCCGAGGTTGTGATGAGCCAAGATCATACCATTGCACTCCAGCCTGGTGGACAGAGCGCGACTCCATCTCAAAAAAAAAAAACAAAAAAAACCAACTTCTTGGGAGTAATGGTTGTTCAAGTCCTCTGGCCACTTTTTAATTGGTTGTTTAGATTAATTTTTCTAAATTATTTTGTTGTGGTAAAATACACATAAAATTCACCATCTTAATCATTTTTAAGTTTACAGTTCAGTAGTATTGAAGCATTCGTATTGTTGCACAACCATCAATTCCAGCCATCTTCAGAGTTCTTTTCTTTTTTTGTTTTTTTTAAACACCTTTTTTCTGAACACCTTTACTTAGGTCTAATCTCATATTTGTACCATTTCTTCAAATTTACTTTGAAAAAAGAGCTTCACTGTGTGTTGTTGTCATACACATTCTCCTACCCAACCATGGACCTCTTCTTCCACTCAAAGTGTGCTTCATCTAATTTTTTTTAGCACTGGTCTGGCCTTTTTGGAGGAGGTGGAGTAGCTCATAGTTCCTTTAATCTTGCAAAGAT